GGATGCTGATGGATCCCTATTCTTCCCCCCCCCATCAGTCCTACAGATCTCGTCACCCTCATCCTCTCTCTGCAGCTCCCTGCACCTCCAGTCCGTTTCTCCCGTCAAAGATTTCTGGTTTCCAAACGTATAAGTCTCTGTCCTTCTGTCTTGTTACTTTCCAGCACTAACATGGTTAATCTTCATGCCTGCAGCTTCACTCCCTTTTTTGCACTGTCTAACTTTCTCCCCCCCCTCCTCCCCGCTTGCCTGCATTTCTACTGATAAGAGTTAGAGACGGGATTTTTGCTGGACAATATTCTAATTCAAAGGTTATGGTGTTATAATTGTGTAATAATATTATTATTGTTGCCATTTGCCGTTTATATATATATATATAAATTGTGTTTTGTGATAAGGCAGTGAAGATTGTGGGGGGGCTCGCTCACAAGAATGCATTCCACCTTTCTGAGTATTCTCTCCAAGACTGGTGTATAAGACAGGGAGTCAGGGATGTAGCTCAGTGTTGATTTACGGAGGTTAAGTAAGTGAATCTGATACAAGAATAGAGGAATATTTGGACGTGTTAAGTGTAAAGGCAAGCGTGATTTGTTGCAAAACTATGCAATGAGGATGATAAGGGAAATTGGTTGAATTCCGTGAGTTTATTTTGCATCATTTTATTATTTTAAAGTTATTTTAAAGTACATGTTTCTAGAAACAGCTGTATGGGCTGTTAAATGCATAATGTTCTCAACTGTCTTATTTAACCTGCCAGGTCTGTTCATAGTTTAGTATTTCATTTTGCAGAACAGAATGTTGCTTCTCTGACTTATTTTAATAGTTATAATATAGTGTATTGTTGAAAGTGCATCAGCCACCACCCTAAAGATGGCGCCTAGTACAGAAGGAGGTTGACCCTGCCAGTCCCGTGACCTATCTACAGTCACGGTTGCTTCTAAAGTGACGTCACTTCCGCCCTTACCATGCCCACACCTCCTGTCTTCCTTTCCCACACCTATCATGGACGTCACCTCACTTCCTCCCTTGCTGTCATTTCCTTCCCCGCCCCTGTCATGGCTGCCTCCATCATGAGGCCTACCCCTATCATGCTCGTCCTATTTAGAGACATGTTGTTTTCCTTACACTTTACATTATTATGAACAGAAACATTATAATTACTGAAACAATCATGCCATTTGTTTCCCTGTATCAGAAATTTGTCCGTGATATAAAAAAAAAAAAGAAGGTTGCTAAAATGTAATTTGCAACTGTGGTGTGACCTACAAATGAGATCTGTTGGACACGAATATAAGAGCATAACAGCTGATTATCCAGATTAATCTTGCAACAAGGGAAATAGCTAAATAATGCAAGTTATTTTAAACATTGTATCTTTACTTAATCGAATCTTGCTAGTTACAGATCGTAGGTTTACAGTAGCATCCTTTACTTTAAATAATGGTTTAGCACTAGAAGGGTTTGTGACATGTTTTATTAACCCAGCCACTACTGGTTATTCATTTTAGTTACAGGGTGGTATAATTGTTATAGTCTAATTAATATAAATGATAGTACCACAATAGTTAATGTTTTATCCAAAGACATATAGGAACTTTACTTCACTTACTATTACCCATTATTTATAATGATGGAACCTACTGATGCTTAATGCCCCTGTTATGGCAGTGTCTTCAGGGGAACAAGGGGGGCCACTAGCCACTGTAACTTTACCTATTGAAGGTCACCCTACTACTTTCCTGGTTAACACAGGTGCAGCCCGCAGTGTTCTTAGAGAACAAGACCTGCCTGACTCATCATTCCTGCCTGACACCGATGTCTCTTGTGTTGGTGCTGATGTCCTATCCCGCCTCCAAGCATCCATCACCCTCACTGCAGACGGCCAGGTTCAATTAAATACACCTTTGTCACGAAAAGACACTACAGTTCTTTGTTCCCTTCCCATTTTACTGTGGAGATGATCTACCCACAACAGAACAATGCTCAATTAATCTTCTTTACTATCTAGCAGAACAAGGATGTGAAGCTTCACGTCTCAAGCTGCAATTCTGCCAACCTACTGTTATCTTCCTTGGCCATTGTCTGTCTCAGGGAACCAGACATCTCACTCGTGACCGAGTTAGAGCAGTACTGGACATTCCACCTCCAAGGACCTCAAAGTCACTACACGCCTTCCTAGGCCTCATTTCCTATTGCCGAGCATGGATCCCAGAAGCCTCGCTCCTTATGCAACCTCTCTATGATGCTCTCAAGTCAGACCCATTTTGCTTGTCCACAGAAGCCCTTGACAACTTCTGTTCTCTCAAACGTGCTATTGCTTCTGCTCCTGCTCTTGGCCTACCAGACTATACCAAACCCTTCAAATTGTTTGTTTCTGAAAGACAAGGCCATGCAACAGGAGTACCCACTCAGGCCCTTGGTCCTGGAGGCCGCCAAAGGCCTACTGGATTTTTCTCCTGCCAACTGGATATTGTGGCCAGAGGACGTCCCACTTGCCTTCGGGCCGTCTGTGCTGCCAAAGAGCTCATTGAAAGAACTGGAGATCCTGTCCTTGGTCACCCCCTGGTTGTCTTGGCCCCTCATGACATTTCTGCCATAGTCAACCAGGTCCACCTTAAGCATGTTACTCCTGCTAGGCATCTTCGCCTTCAATGTCATCTTTTGTTGCCTGACAACATTACCCTCCAAAGATGTCAAGTTCTCAATCCGTCCACTCTTCTGCCACTCCCTGAGGGGGGTGTATACTACGGATTCATCATGGACGAAACTTATGTTTTTCTTCTCACTGGCACCATCAAGAAGGAAATGCATCCCAACCTATCCTTTCATGATGGACAAGCACTCCTTCATGACGGAGCAGGATATGCCTTCTGTACCATGTGGTACAAACCAAACATCACTCCTGAACCCTGCTATGAAGATGAACTCTATCATCCGGTCGAAGTAAAACTCACTGCACAAGACTTCTACTGTGATTCTGAAGGCAACAGTATGGTCTTGATTCATCTACCTCCGGAACTCAAGCATTTGTACCGTCATTGGGACACTGCCATTCCACATGTCCCTGTGACCAAGTTGAAAACAATATCATGGAATGATCTTGGGCCTATGGCAAAAGCATGGGCCACTATGGACGAATCACAGCTACAGGAAAATGGTGTTGTCAAATATCCAACAACTGACCACCTAAAAGCATGGCCACGTCATTTCCTGGAAAATGAGTTCCAAGATTTAACCATAGTGAATGACTACGACCCAGATACACCTCATGACTGTTTTGAACAGATGAAAATGGAAACAACACATCTACCAACTGTGCATGAAGACCCATTGGTAGATCCCGATCTCACCCTGTTTGTGGACGGCTCAAGATATGCTGATGAAGAAGGAAGATACCATACAGGATATGCCGTAACCACAACAGATGAAATTGTCAAATCATCATCTTTACCATCAACTATGTCTGCACAAGAAGCTGAATTGCAAGCCCTGACTTCAGCATGCAAGATCTCTGAAGGAAAGCGCGCCAATATCTACACGGATTCAAGATATGCACTGGGCGTGGCTCACGACTTCGGATTAATTTGGAAAACAAGAGGATTTCTTACCACCGCCGGTACACCAATCAAGCACGGTTCCGCAATCAAGGAGCTGATGGACGCCCTCCTACTCCCAGAAGAAGTGGCTATTTTGAAGATAAAAGCACATGGGAAGTTGGACTCAGATGAAGCAAAGGGCAACCATCTAGCTGATCAGGCTGCAAAACAAGCTGCAAGAGAACCACAGGAAGTGGAAAGAAGAGTGTCCGGAAATGAAGAAACTCCCATATTTACTCTGCAGACTCTTCCAACTGACCTAAAAATCCTGCGGGAACAACAGGCTACAGTTGCCCCTGAAGAAATACAGAAGTGGAAACAGAAAGGGGCAGTTCTGAAGGATGGAGTGTACTCCAACAACCTCAAGTTCTGCCTCCCTAAGAATTTGTACCCAGCAGTCGTACAATGGGCACACGGACCTGCACATTTATCAAAGGATCTAATGAATGCTCTTGTACAAAAATACTACCTCACTGTCCCCATATGAGATTCTATTTGGGACTGCACCTAGGCTAGGTTGCTATTTTCCCCAACAACTACAACTTCAAACTGATGTTTTAGTAGATTATGTAACTGAACCCGCAAATGCTTTAAACAAAATCCATGCCCAAGTTTTCTCTTCAATTCCAGATCCTGATTCTGATACGGGCAACCACAGTCTGCTCCCTGGTGACTGGGTTCTGGTCAAGAAATTTGTGCGAAAACACACCCTGGAACCAAGATTTGACGGACCGTTCCAAGTTCTCCTGATCTCCCCTACCTCTGTCAAATTGGCCGGAAGGCCTAACTGGATCCACGCTTCCCATTGCAAGAAGACACCTGCCCCAGAGGAAGCTAACTCTCTGCAACCATGTGCCTCTGGTACATTATCTCCTTAAAGCCCAGCAGGTGGCCATCACCAGAGATGCTAGTGGGTACACTTTCTGGTATAATTCATCATGTACCCATGTGGCTACATTCACTTTTGATTACTGTGATATTGTAGAGTGCCCATTCCCTAAGTCACAGATTCAAGCCATTTATAAAGATATACCACAAGCAAAAGACCCTTACGTTTGTGTAGATGAACAATGGGGTTATGACTGTAACTACTGGGGGGCTGCGGGATGGAATACTGGGCCTGCCTGGGGTTATAAACCCAAAAGTGCTTTATCTAAGATAGACAATCAGGGTAGATCCCTCCTTCAAAGAATGACTTTAAGAAAGCCTGGAGGAAGTACCCCTATGAAATTAATGTTAAATATTGAACATCCTGGCCCCGAGGATGCAGACCGATATGTAATGGGAATGTATTGGAAGAAAGGTTCCTACAACAAATTAGGTCATTTCTACCTCAGAGATATGTACCACTCTCCAGAGTGGCAAGGGGCTGATCATATGGTCCCAAATCCGCTAAAACCACATATCCAGTCCTTTAAAGATATGATGGCCATCGCTAACCCCACTTTTGAAGATACCATGGCCGCTGAAACTGGATTCAATGACATTAATTTGTGGTTAGAATGGATGAGGTATAATGCCAACAAACATAATAAAACAGCATGTTATGTATGTGGCGGTGCCCGACCCCACCTTGGCACCGTCCCCCTAATTCTCCCTTTAGAGATAGAAGATTGCTTCTTAAGCCTTTTTGCCTACCACTATGACTTTAATAGGTCCCTCTGCATGGCATGGACGGCAGAGTACCCTCTCTTAGTTGAAAATATTAAGCCACCTGATGGAATCACAGTCTATAGAGGTAATTACACTTGTTATGCCATGTATGACGGGATTGGTAAATTCATGGGTAATTTTTCTAAAGGTTATTGCGCCACTTACAGAACTGTTCCTATACGCCTGTTGCAACACCATACCAGGTCATTGGGGGATATTTACTGGTTATGTGGGGATCTACAGTTAAGATCTAGGCTGGAAACTGAGTGGTGGGGTGAGTGTACCCTAGCCAAAGTTATCATGCCCATTCATATTATTTCTGATAATCATCATGACACATACGACCCTCCACATACACCAGCCAGAGTGAGGCGCGAAACCCCAGTAAAAGGCAGTTTTGACCCCCACATTTACATAGATGCCATTGGGGTACCTAGGGGGGTACCTAATGAATTTAAAGCTAGAGATGAAGTAGCTGCAGGTTTTGAATCACTGTTCACTATAGTCACTGCCAACAAAAACCTTAATTGGATTAACTACATTTATTACAACCAACAGCGTTTTGTCAACTACACCAGGGATGCCCTCCAGGGCCTGGCCGAGCAGTTGCAGGCCACATCCCAGATGACCTTCCAGAACAGAATGGCCTTAGACATGATTCTAGCTGAAAAGGGGGGTGTATGTAAAATACTACCTGACACCATGACTTGTTGCACTTATATCCCAGAAAACACAGGTCCTAATGGTAAAGTCACTCTGGCCATAGCTAAATTAAATAGACTCTCAGAAGAGTTAAAGAGAAACTCTTGAGTTACTGATCCCTGGGAAAAATGGTTTGGTTGGATGACTGGTTGGCAGAGAGCTTTAGTCCAGATTGGTATTGCCTTACTAATTTTTCTTTTTATTCTTGCTCTTCTCATTTGTTGTGTCCTCCCATGCCTAAGGAAATTCCTGCAGAAAACCGTAGACCAAGCAACACCAACCTTCACTCATCTGACAATCGATGATCAAGATCTCACCTCACCCTGTATTCCGCTACAAACTCTCCCTTATACTGATGAAGTGCAGAAAGTCTAGGAAGGGACAGTACAGGGACAGCGTCCGTCTTTATGGGTAGACTGCCGTACGGAGAAATAGTGGATAAGCCACTATGGGTTACCAGCGGAGTGAAGAGTGTTCCTGAACCGTACTGACGGATGTGCTGCAGCCTGTTAGGGTCAAGAGAGGGATAGACTTGCACTTTGCATTAACACTAAGTCAGCGGTCATGGGGTTTCTGTGTCTTTGGGCTAACACATCTTCTGATACTAACAAATAAAGTTTTGTCTTTTAGCAAATAACATTTTAGGGGGGACTGTTGTAGAATTATTAGGCCTCTATAAATCTGTAAGGCCCCTTTAAATCCTCTTGCTATACCTCTAAGAGGCCCCCATAGTTTTACAAGAAAGCTTTGTCTATAGAACATAGAATTTGCATGTCAGCAAGAAATAGCTTTGATAAAATGTGTATTTACTAAAAGCCTTGAAACCTAACCTTGAGAAACTAACAAGTGCCAGCTACGCTCTAAATGGATAGCTGCCAAAAGGCCCCTCCCGTCGAGTGAGCTCCTCATGTTAGCAAAATGGCGCTAAAACCTGGAGTAGAAAAGCATGACGTGGATAGTGACCTAAGAATGGGGAGGGCATTTTACTAACATCTTAGCACCTAAGCCAATTAACAATGTCTATTTGTCTATATCTTGATTTTCTTCAATGATGTAATAATGCCTTTAAAAGGGTCTGCGCACCCATTTTCTGTCAGAAGCCATTAAACTTCTCCGAAGTTCTTTCATTAACCTGAACTTTGTGTCTCAGTGTGAATTTACTTCTGCGTGCACGCAACTTTATTATCTTTAATTTGGACAGGAACAGATAGTCATTCAAACTAATTGGTTTGCAGTAAATTATCTACAACAGTACTACCTTCACATTCAGACTGCTCGTCCTCCAAAGCTGCTATGCAACGAGCACCCAGCTCATCAAAGACCCAGTCCATGAGGGGATCGCCAGTGCTATATAACCCCTCCCTCAACATCGTCGTCTTCAGTTTGGGCTGGACAGAATTCAGCTTTAAATTCACGAGGAACTTCGGTTTTGCAGTCGGGAGGATCAACAAGCCATTTGTCCAAGTCAGAGTCAGGAGGATTAGGGACGCTGTGTGTGGCGAAACCGACCTCGCCACTGGGCATTGGAGAAGACTGATTACCAGCCTCCTGCCATGTGACTATGGCCCCTGGGGTGTATTGCCCTTTAAAGACATGATTAGGGCATAATGGATTTGTGTTGTGCTGCTGCTGGCCCTCTGAGAAACATCTGGGGACATACTGTGGAGTTACTGGGTGGCCACCATTTCCTGTATCATGAAGCACATGGTGAGAACAATGGATGGCGGCCATTTTAACTCACAGACACGGTTTGGACTTTTCAACATGGTGCCATCTCGCCAGTATTTGGTGCACAGAGACATCGTGCAGTGGTTTTGGACTATACAGCAGGGGACACATTATACAGTGATTGTTTTCCATTTAGCCTGTATATGTTCTGCAGAATCTGCATTAAACTGTATCTTCCAAAGTACTGAACGGATCTGGGTGAATTTTGGATATGTGGTTCACCCAGATCCCCCGGTTCCAAGGATATACTTTTTATAGGGTTATTGTATGTTTTGGGGTCCCTGTGATGTGTTTTATGAAACTGTATTTCTCTGTCTGTGATAATTAGATTACCCATTGTGTAAGGTAATTGTATCACAGGCAGAGGGCATGATTTTGTGTGGGAGTGTCTGAGTGTATTGTACGTGTTATTGGTTGTTCTGTAAAACCCTGTGGGCAGTACTAAGTTTGTGGATAGGAAATAAAAGAGGCTGTATGTGCCAGTCAAGTCAGTTCCTGCTTAACCCTCAAAGTGAAGTGTTGTCTCATTATTGGGGGAGGATTTATTGTATGCTGTTCCAGTTTGATTGCTAGGAGTGTAAACCTATTCGCATGGTTTTTCCTATTCAGCTGTATACAACATTCAAATGCTTGAGAGCATTCATATGCTCCTACGGTTTGGTGGTTTTGGTGTCTGCTGCAGTGCTTGGAGTCCTCAGGAAGTGCTAGGAGCATCCTTCAACGGAGGTACCCAGTCGGGGTGCCAGGTGATCCGTTACACTATGCAAATCAGGAAAGGGTATATAAACATCATTATCAGGCATAAAGACACTCATTCTTTCCTGTATTAGATCAATAAGAAAATGAATTTCGGGTAACAAGGCAGTGTAACTATTGCACATTACTCTTAACTGCTTCTGCAAATATGACAAGGATTTTTTGCGTGATGTTTCTTTAAGAGACACTACTTATTACAGGAGGCTTTCTCAACCATTTCTCACAATCAGGTAATTGAGAAAGCAAAGAGTCATATATTTGTTTGTGATAAGTTTTCAGTTCAGTGATAAGTCCACATAACACAGATTTCTGGATTTGACAGGAGACAAACAAAACAAACAATATATATACAATAACAAGAATAATAGGTTGCGCTACAAAAAAGCAAATAGACAGAAATGTATATATAAAAACAGTTTAACACATAAATACAGAAAAATATATAAAAAAGAGAAATATATAAAAAATAATAGTCCAAATAGTAGATATTGTAAGTTGATAAATAATGGTTGTAGTATTTGGTATATTTCTCTTACAGGTTCCAGTAGGTGTACAGTAGTAGTATGTCCAATAGGGAAAATAGATCTTCTAATCTTTAGAGGAGTCTTGGCTCGATGATAGACATGGAAAAAAGAAAGACAACAAAGACGATCCAATAGTGTAGACTGTCTGTTGATAGGAGAAATAATAAATAGGTAATACACTCACCTATATTAGAGCATAGACTTGCTCTAGTATATTGGGCATTCAGTGGCGTTTGTCCCCCACTGGTAGGGTATAGGTGAAGATGATCCCTCGGTTTTAAAAAGGAGATAAAAGCAAAATATAGTGCTCACTGGATATGAGTAAATTAAATAAAAGAAAGGAATAAAAATACTCACATATGGATGAGCAGGGTAAACTGCTCAATATAACCGCATAGGTGGTACAATCCCCACCTAGGATTCTTGGTCTTGTGTAGGCTCCAAGATGGTATGTGACCAGGTAATGACAAATTTTAAGAGTGAGATAAAAAAGGTTATATGGCAAAATTGTTATAAAAAGCCACTATTCCTTTATTAGTACAATATAAAATATAAAAAATAGCCAAAACGCGTTTCGCCACACAGGGCTTTATCAACTGGCAACTCACTATTGCCAGTTGATAAAGCCCTGTGTGGCGAAACGCGTTTTGGCTATTTTTTATATTTTATATTGTACTAATAAAGGAATAGTGGCTTTTTATAACAATTTTGCCATATAACCTTTTTTATCTCACTCTTAAAATTTGTCATTACCTGGTCACATACCATCTTGGAGCCTACACAAGACCAAGAATCCTAGGTGGGGATTGTACCACCTATGCGGTTATATTGAGCAGTTTACCCTGCTCATCCATATGTGAGTATTTTTATTCCTTTCTTTTATTTAATTTACTCATATCCAGTGAGCACTATATTTTGCTTTTATCTCCTTTTTAAAACCGAGGGATCATCTTCACCTATACCCTACCAGTGGGGGACAAACGCCACTGAATGCCCAATATACTAGAGCAAGTCTATGCTCTAATATAGGTGAGTGTATTACCTATTTATTATTTCTCCTATCAACAGACAGTCTACACTATTGGATCGTCTTTGTTGTCTTTCTTTTTTCCATGTCTATCATCGAGCCAAGACTCCTCTAAAGATTAGAAGATCTATTTTCCCTATTGGACATACTACTACTGTACACCTACTGGAACCTGTAAGAGAAATATACCAAATACTACAACCATTATTTATCAACTTACAATATCTACTATTTGGACTATTATTTTTTATATATTTCTCTTTTTTATATATTTTTCTGTATTTATGTGTTAAACTGTTTTTATATATACATTTCTGTCTATTTGCTTTTTTGTAGCGCAACCTATTATTCTTGTTTTTGCCATTTCTCCTTTGAGGACTTTAGAGGGAACCTCATATTTATAGGTTGCTGCTTTCTGTTTGTTCATATCACACAGCGCTGATCCGTTTTCCACTAATATATATACAATGCCACAAAATATATACAATAAATCAGGATAAGCACGAATAGTGCAGACAACGTATACTGAAACAGTCCTTTGGTATAAGGGCAGGATTGTGCAGTTACCACGAGTAGTAGGTAGGGCACAAATCCAGAGTCACAAGACTAATATACTGACACCAGGAAGCAAGGTCAGAAGCAGAATAAATGAACAAGGCTGCAGGGTCAGGATCACTGGTAATAAAGCCAAGAACACGGAACCAGAACACAGGATCAGAGGGCACAGGAACGAAGGACCAGGTGG